GTTTGGCGGGGCGGAAGGCGGCCAGTGAAGAGCAGTGTGGAGTCACTGGAGGGGGGACTCGAGGGTCCTGAGCGACAGCCCGCCATTCCTGTGGATGGAGGCGTGGCCTCCAGGATGTGTGGGTGAAGGGGATGGGTGGAGAGGTGGGGTCAGCTTGTCAGGTCTGTGCCCGCGAAGAGAGCAGGTATGGGGGTCACCGTGGGTGCGGTCGAGGCTGGCAGAACACCATCGAATGGGGAGGACCCGAGGAGGGGTCACGGGAAGAAGGTGTTTTAGGGACAGAATCCTGGGAAGCTAAGCGAGGACTGAAAGCTGGCTCCTGGAGGCTTGGGGAGAGGATGCGGGATGGAGGCCGAGGGAGGCTAGTGCGAGGGGGGCCTCTGGCCAGCTCCGAGGGGAAGGTGGTGCCCACGGCCGAGGGAGGCCCGGGCGGCTGGGAAGCCAGTCTCTCCTCTGTAACCACATTCCGTTGCCTGGGTGCAGGTGGGAGTCGGTGGGTAGTGGGTTCTTTTGGGGCCGAGGAAAACAGACCTTGGTGCAGGGAGAGAAACAAACCCCCCCGAGCGCGGAGCTGCGTGGAGGGGTCGGGCGAGCCCGTGGGGGAGAGGAGCCGCGGTGGGGGACCTCCTGCGTGTCTGTCTCGATGAGGCTGAATCAGGGCGGGGTGCGAGTCACGTGATGCCAGAGACATCCTAGGGCAGGCGGGCCGTGTGTCCTCTAGGTGTTTTTGTTTCTATGAGCCAGAGCCAGAGTGACACGCCCCAGCAGGGTCTGGGCAGTGAGCTCCTACCCAGCCTGGGCCAGCCAGGGTCATCCCCACGTGTATGCGTGCCCAGCGTGCCGGGGGGGGGGGGGGCGGCCGGGGGCGGGGGGGGGGGGCGGTCGTGTGCCGGGGCCCCAGGTCCTCCCCACGCGGGCCACCACACCTGGCCCTGACGTGGAGACGCTGGCAGAAGTGGCCCACGCCCGGCTGTGGTGCAGGGAGAGGCACTGAGCTGCATGGGGAAGGCTATTTGGAGGGGAGGAGGGCTAAGGAGCCGCAGGCCAGGGCACGGCTGCACGTGTGCATGTACATGGGTCACCGAGGGCGACGGTGAGCCATGCTGGAGGCTTGCCTGCTGACTGGCGAGGGGTAGAGGGCAGCGGGAAGGAGGGCCCACGGGATGTGGCCCTGGGAGCCAGGGATCCGGAGGGCGTGAGAGGAAGAAAGCCCTCTCCCCGGCCATGCCTGAAGCCTGCGGGGTGTGGAGAAAGAGCTCGTGGCCGCGGGAGGAGAGGCTGAGCGTCCAGAGGACGGGCAGCAGGTGCCAGGGGACAGCACGGCTGGGAGGGGTGCAGGGAGAGTGGAAAACCAGGTCGTACGAGAGCGTGCAAAAAAGACATCGCTCAGGGACTGGTAGGTGGCGTGGTGGCTAAGGCACTGGACTCCCACGTGGCTGACCGTGGTTCGAGTCCTGGCCTCGGCAGCTTGCTTTCCCACGTCTCCTCTCTGTCTCTCTCTCTCTGACTCTCTCTGGTCAAATTAAATAATAATAATAGCAATAAATAAAATGAAATAAAATAATTCTTAAAGGAAAAAAAAGAGGTTGGTCAAGGGACACAGGGTATAGCTGGGTTGAGGGTGCTTGCTGAGGGTGTCCGGGACAGATGTCCGTGTCGGTGAGCCCTTTGGGACATGAGCAGGAGCTTGCACACTGGGACGCACCTTGCGTGGCCTCTAGGGACCTGGCAGCCTGGCCTGTCTGAGGGGCCTCCCGTCGCTAGAGGCCCAGGCCCAGGGTAGCAGAGCGCTCGCACGTTCCCGGGCTTCTTCCTCGTGGGTTTCTGTGTTTTCCCTTTGCCTGGCACGAGGTGCTGGCCTCCCTCTGGGCGCTCCAGACCCTGCCCCGTCAGTGCTGGCCTTGCCGCTCAGGCCGTCCTTCCCACAGTGATCCCCGTTCACATCCCGCGGGAACCTGTCTGCCCGTGGCCTTTGTGGACTGCCGGGCAGAGATAGGTGTGAATCAGCGCAGGCCCTGAGCTGGCCACGGGCTGGGAGGTCAGCATGGCGGCCTAGGGCTGCTGGACAGGGCAGGGGCAGAGCCGTGGGCCGTGGTGACCGGGCAGGGCAGCAGGTTCCCCAGGTCAGGTGAGGGGCTCAGACTCCCAGGCCGAGCCCCAGGGAAGGCGGGAGGAAAAAAAGCGGCTCACTCCTGCTCTCCCTCCTGGCAGCACGGACGTCTTCATCTGCACGAGCCCCATCAAGATGTTCAAGTACTGTCCGTACGAGAAGGTAAGGCCGCACCCTGCCCGACTGCCCCCACCCACACATCGCGGGCAGCAGGAGTGGGCTGGGCACCCCCAGCGGGAAGGGTGGACCCTCACGGTGCCTGGCCCCGAGCCCGCACCTCCTGGCCCGAACCCCCGGGGGCTCTGGATGGGAAGGTGCCCGTCAGCGTCTCAGTGGAATGCCGTCTGTCTGTCTGTCTTCACCTGCTACTGTATTGTCACCAGAGATATCTGAAACCGAGCTTCGTCCAGCTCAGTCTGGAGGTCCGTGGTCCAGGGGCTGACCCTGGGCGAGGCAGCGGCATGGCGTGCGCGTGCCCTCCTGAGCCAGCGGCCGTCTGTGTGTCTGTGTCTCACTCTCATCTCTTTCTTCTTCCCCTTGATTCCTTCCCTCTTTTTAAATTTGCCAGAGAATGCTCCTCTCCCACTGTCTCCAGTATCACCATTGACGACCTGTCACACCGTGGGACACCCTGGGACATGATGAAGGGACTGAGTTTTCACTGAGCACCTTTATAGCACAACCAAGCCTGTTTGTGACATGTGGGGTGCCCAGACCCCACCGATTAGCCTCAGATTCGCCTGGGCCGGGCAGGGTTGTGAAGGACAAGCTGACACAGCCGCGGGGGCACCTGGGCTCGTTGCACTTATTTATGTGAAGAGTCCTTCCAAGCGGAGGTGGGGAGTTTGTTTCGCTGCACACTCACTGTATCGTCCTTGTGGGGGAAATGGGATTGTAGGTTGAGGATCTCTTATTCTTTTTTTTAAAAATTATTTGTTTAATTTTATTTATTCATTCATTTATTTAAATTTGACCAGAGAGAGACACACACACACACAAAGAGGGAAAGTGAGAAAGGAAGCCACCAGGCCAGGACTCAATCCATGGTCGGCCATGTGGGAGTGTCCAGCACCTTAACCACTACGCCACCTGCTGGTCCCCAGAGGATCTCTTATTCTTCAATGCTTGTGACCAGGAGTGTTTGAGGCTTCAGACATTTTTGGATTTTGAAATATTTGCATATCCATAATGAGATATCTTGGGGTGAGACCCAAGTCTCACAGAATTTATCTATGTTTCATGTACACCCCGGCCCAAAGAGATTGTATACAGTACTTTACACCATCGCGCTTTGACTGCGGTGTGGTGTCTGTAACCCAGGCATCTCCGGTTTTCTGGATCTTTAGGTTGGGGATGCTCGCCCTGGCCATGTGCCAGGTGGTCAGTGTGGTGGTCCCCGTTTCCTGGAGTCAGACTGTCGGGGGCCGCTGTTCGTCTGTGCCACGTGTGTCCTCAGCCCAGGCCCACCGCCCCAGCCCCAAGTGCCCAGGCTCCGTGCGGCTGTCCCTGGGTGCTCGCTTCCCCTTGCCGTCCCTCCTACCCACCTTGCCGGCCTTTGACCCCTTCCGTCGTGCCGCGTGCCCCGTACTGGCGAGCCCGGCTCCTGCAGACCCAGTACACCTGCTGCTCTTGGTGTGGGGGCTCCAGCACGGCTCTCAGCAGGCAGATCATCGGGGGTTCTATTAAAGACTCGCACACCTGGGGCCGGCAGATGGCGTGCTGGTTACGTTGAGGGACTCCCACGTAGTTGACTGTGGTTCCAGTTCTGGACTCATTGGCTTGAAAATCACTCCAGGCGCGTGTGCGTGCGAGCCCAAGATCCCGAGAGGAGAGTGGAGGAGAAGGGATTGCGGCGTGGCCATCCCCCTGGGGGAGGGCAATTTTTCACTTTCTCTCTCTCTGTTTCTCCCTGTGTCTCTGGTGCCCTATAGCAAAAACAACAACAAAAACTCTCTAAAAATAAAAACCTCTTAAAAAAAAAAAAAGACTTGTACATCAGGACCAGCAGGTAGTGTAGTGGTTAAGGCCACTTAGCCACTGACTCCCACATGGCCAACTGTGGTTCAAGTCTCAGACCTGGCGGTGTGAAACCCTTGCCAGGCACAAATGCATGTGTGCTTAAAATCTCAAGAAGAGAAGGGAGGAGGAGGGATTGCAGCGTGACTCTCCCCCATGGGAGGTGATTTCTCACTTTTCCTCTCTTTGTTTCTCTGGTGAGTGCACTTGTCCTATAGCAAAAAAAAATCTCCAAAAAACCCCGAAAAACAAAAACAATGCCAGGCCAGCATGTGGCATGGTGGTTAAGGTCCTGGATCCCATGTGGCTGACCGCGGTTCGAGTCCCAGATTCAGGGGCTCGAGAAACATGCCAGGCACGCATGTGCATGCCCAAAATCCTCAGAGGAGAATGGAGGAGAAGGGATTGCGCAGTGTGGTCATCCCCCTGGGGGGTGGAGGTGATTTCTCACTTTCTCTCCCTCTCTCTGTCTCTCTCTGCTGAGTGCACACACCCTATGGCAAAAATATAAAAACAGAACAAAACAAAACAATTAAACCAACTCGCACACTAAGCCCGGCCTGCCTCTCCTGCCCCTCTGGAGCCTGAGTAACCTGGGCCAGATGGCGGTGTCCCCCCCTCGTGGCTCCCAGGCCTGGGCCCCTGTTTCCTTCTCTCCATGCTGCCTGGCTCAGGTGTCTCCCCGAGCTTTCTGACCATCGTACCTAAAGTATGCTCTTTTTCATTTTTATTATTTTTTGAGGTTCCTGTAGGATGCTGTGCTCACAGAGGGAGACAGAGAGCGGGAAAGCGAGAAAGCAGCACCAGGGGGATGGTCACCCTGCAGTCCCTTCTCCCTTCTCCTCGGGATTCTGGGCATGCACACACGCCTGGTGTGTTCCTCACGCCTCTGGGACTGGGATTCGAACCAAGCAGTTGGCGTGTGGGCTCCAGCTCTCTTACCCTGCTCACCAGCAGCTGCCCATTGCCTCACATTCGTACGAAGTCTCTTTCTCTCATGAGTGAGGGGGCCAAGCACCGTCAGAGGGTCTTCCGCTGTAATTCCACCCTCCCTCCTTCCCCTGTTTCCCAGCGAGCCAGGACCACGGGCATCCCTGTGCCGAGCCTGGACGGGAACCCCGGGCTCAGCTGGGCTCTCGCCATGCCACAGGCTGCGGCCCCTGGGTGTTCTCTCTCCCCCTCCTCGCCCTGTGTGACACTTGCCACCATTGGAAGTGGTACCGTGTCCTTGTGGGCGGCTCGTCTGTCATCTCCCCACCTGCTCACCACTGAGCTCCCGGGCCCAGACCAAGGCCTGCACACGGTGCTCCTGGTGCTGGAGACAGAAGTGTGAGTTCAGTGACCGTGTCCGCTGGGTACCCGCCTCACCCTTTCCAGGGGACTTTAAGAAGGCTGTGGCGTCAACCTGCAAGGTTATTTCGGTGCAAGAGAGTTTTCTGAAATCCACACACAGTTTTTCCTTAGTAGGCATTTTGTGAACTGTTTGAAGACCCCTCGTATCATTGCGACCAAGGCTTACAACAGCTCCCTGGAAAACAGGGACACTCTCCAGACTGACAGGCGCAGGCAGGGGTCAGGGCTTGGGGGGCTGAGGCAGCCGCTCGCCAGGTCTGCTGACCGCAGGGCTGGTCTGCCCCAGCCCCGTCCCCTCCCTCGCTGGTGTTCCCTGCAGGCAGCCACGTCCCCCGGCAGGGGTGCACAAACAGCACACCAGGGAGAGGGCAGGGACGGCAGTCAGGGTCCCAGTCCTGAGCGACATCGCCCCGTGACGACCCGGAATGAAGTGGATTTACTGGGAGGACACTGGTTTGCTTAGGGAAGCCAGGCCATGGGCAGTAGGGGCCCATTTTAGTCCTCTTTTCTGTCGCCAAGCCCTGAACACCACCCTGGGTGGGTTCATCAAGAAGAAGGGGTTAGGCACGAGCAGGTGGTGTAATGCTTACGTCGCTGGACTCCCACACGCCGACGGCAGCTTGAATCCTGGATCTGGCGGCTTGAAACCCCACACCGGCTGCTTGTCCATGCGTGTGCAAGGTCCCGAGAGGAGAATGGAGACGGTTGTGGTGTGGCCATCCCCCCTGGGGAGTGATTTCCTGCTTTCTGTCTCTCTGGCAAGCACACTCAGCCTGTAGCAAAAATCTCTTAAAGAAGAAGGGTTTATTGAGTCCGCGGTTTGGATGTCCAAGGCCCAGGTGCACATCCGGGGCGGTTCTCCCTGTGGGTCGGGGCTCTCAGCAGTCTCAGGACGGTGCCGGCTCACGGGGAAGACAGGCAAGGCCGTGCACATCTGCACACTCTCCCCTCTCAGACCACCAGTTGGATCAGGGGGCCTCCATGACGACTTTCTGTAAAAGTTTCTGTTTTCCTTCTACAAGCAAAAGAGACACAGAGACAGGCAGAAAGACAGACAGGCAGAGAGAAGGGCACGCCTCGCAGTCTCGAGCCCACAGTCCGCCCAGCCTCAGCCAGCCAAGATCACGGGCACGATACGGATGAGCTCTGGCTTTTTTTTTCTCCTTAAAGTTTATTACTTATTTCGGGACCAGCAGTTGGCGTAATGGCTATGTCGCTGGACTCGCATGTAGCCGACCGCAGTTCGAGTTCCAGACCCGGTGGCTTAAACTCATGCTGGGCGCGTGTGCGTGCGTGCCCAAGATCCCGAGAGGAGAATGGAGGAGAAGGGATTGTAGCGTGGCCATTCCCCCTGGGGGGTGATTTCTTGCTTTCTATCTCTCTGTCTCTCTCTGTCTGTCTGGCGAGTACATGCGCCCTATAGCAAAAACCTCTCAAAAAAAAGTTTATTACTATCTCTTCTGAGAGAGAGACACAGAGAGAGAGAGAGACAGTGAAAGAAAGAAAGAACTGTCCATAGCGTCCTCACACCACGATCCACTGCAGCCTCCCCCAGCCCGGACTGTGGATATGTGCTGGCGTTGTGGAAGGAGACCAGGCGCTCCCAGAACATCCCTCGTGGGGAACATCCCTCGTGGGTCTGGTCGAGTTTACTGCTCTGCCAGAATCAGGTCCTCTTTAGCCTTTTTGTTAGTTAGTTTTTGTTTTTGCCGTAGGGTGCACATACTTCCAGGGAGAGACGGAGAGAGGGAGAGTGAGAAATCACTGCGCAGGAAGGGTGGTCACACTGCAGT